AAACGAACCAAATATAACACAAATGTAATATTACATTTGTTACAATCAGTGTATCACTGCACAGTATCACTTTCAACCAAATTTGTTTATTGCATAATTCAAATATCCGAATGCTCTTGCTGGGGTATACGCTCTATCAATTATACACCAACATACATGTACTTAGTATTCAATGTAACACATTCATATTCCCTTACTCAATATAACGATTTTATCATGATATCAATATGAACATTTAAGTGAACGATTAGAATTGAATAATGCATCGCTTCAGTGAAATTATAATAATTATAATAGAGTAAAAACCATAACAAATCATAAATAAACGAATAAACACATAAATAAATAAACAGATCATGAAAATCGTTTTCTTTTATACTTAAAATCATAATCATTAATCGGTTTCTGCGATGAGGAAGATGTATGTTTTGTTTTACTGATTTTAGAATCATTTGACGAAATTCTTCTATAACTGTCATTTCGAGAGGTATGCCGCCTTAAATGTAAATTATATCTAGTGAGGTGATGAACAGAAATTGATATTAATCAGTTCAATTCCATAAATATTTCCACATGAATGTTAATAACAAACAAAGTTTGCGATAGAAAAATCAAGAAGCGCCATTTATTTATTACGAATTACTCTTATTAAATGGATTTTAAACATACCTGTGATTCGAGGGCGATTGGTAATTAGATGATGACTCGTAGTGATCAATTTGTTTATAATTATGACGATCGTGACTGCTCGAATACCGCCTATCACTTGTGTCACGATGAGTATAAGACAGCGACTTCAGTGGCGCTGATCGAACGGTTAGGGAGTAACACGATCCCAATGAGACATCCATTAATGGAACCGGCCCATTCAATTCAACATATTTGCGCTTAAAACGCAATCACACTGACATTTCATAAAATAAATAAGTAAACTGAAACAAAGTGATACTCATTACCGATGTAATAAGCACATTCACGCATACAGAATATAACAAACCTCATTCGAAGGCAGGAACGCAGGCTGGAAGTGATGAAGTAATGACGGTGGATTACTAATTACTGACGTATCGTACTCTTGATTTGTTAGATTGCTGAATGACGATAACAATATCAATGATGTACTAACAATTATACCAATGTTAATGATAATAAATACATTGACAAATATATTAATGATGTATGAACAATAATATTAACGATATCGATAAGCAACCTATGCAATTATGTATCGAAAAAACAAATAAAAGAGCAATAATATCAACCGTTTTGCTCGTTTGAACTGATCATACGAGACCGGATCGTCGAACAGCGATGGGATGGAATGCTTATAAGCACTGCCTTGTTCGCCATCCAACAACCGCTTCTCACCACCACTGCCCCCTCTCAGAATTCTTCTCCTCAAATCCACCACATCGATACTCTCGTCATCCAGTGCAAACATGCCACATAACTCACGACCAACCGATGCCCCTATTTTCGCTCCATCTTGTGCCATATACACTTTTTTATCTAGTATTATTATTCTTGCAGTTAGTTGCTGATTAAAATTGCTCATTTGATTTGAGTTTGTTTGTAAAGTTCTATGAAATCACACACAGCACACCCACGTATACATATTCATTCGGTTAGAATGCATAAAATTCCGCCACACAACGTGTACACACAACATTGGTGGGCCATCTTATCGACTATTCAAGTGTTTCTGATAATGCATCATATTGCACTCTGATGCGCGCACACACACTCTGCACTTCGTATGTTCTTCATTTCAATATAATCAAAATGAAACGAATAAAACAAACTGAAAATTGATTAAGAAATGAATAATGCCTTAACGCACACACACTCCTCTGCACTCCTTCATTTGAATATAATCAGAACGAAATGAATAAAACGAATTGAATAATGCCTTAACACCTTAACTGTATCATTGAATGAATGATACTTGTCTTGACTAATCGAAATCTAATTCAGATTATTGCTTGAGTCTCATAAATAATGAAATAAAAGAATACGATGATTGGTGAGGTGTTGAGTATTCGAGATGTGCAATGATGATTTCGATATCCATTCTATTTTTATATTACCACCACCACTGAATTCCTTCCAACACAATGCCGGTTGTCCTCGGTACAATGCTTTCGAGCAGATTCTTGCAAAACCTTAAATTCATACCACTTTAATCCATCCCATTCAAGCCAGCATTTAAGACAATATCAGTCTCACAAAAACAGCAAAATAAAAATCATCGTCACAAACGCCAAATGAATATGCCAAATAATCCAAATTCATGTGCTTGCCAAATTAATAATTCAAGTCAGAATTCCATAAAGACATGAAGGATTCTCAACGCTATTTTCGTTAGCTGCGTGCAAAGAAGAATGCCAAGGTGAGAAGAATGTGATATTGGTGATAACATTGAGGCATAAACTCGTCGTAATAAGTTGCAGTTGGATTTGCTGATTAAATTAATAAATGAATAAAAACAAATGCATAAACCAACCAACCACAAAAGTGATCTCCTTTCGTCTCAATGAAAATCAATATGACGATTGCGGCTCGATCGAACGTTTCGTCGTAGATTTGCTCAATACGTTTCGTCGTAGTCCAATAAGACTTTTGTTTGGCCAGTTCGATATTCTGTGCTGACGATCTTGCCAGAAAGAAGACGGCATTGTGTAATAGATACTCGATTTCTATTGATTCTAAATTACAATTTATGAGCAGATCAAACATAAACACACATTATTCTTATATTCACTGATCGTGAGATCAAAAATAAAGGTAAATGGCACAAAATACTTTCGGCTTTGAGAAGACTCACGTGCGCAGATTGATGCCTTATATTCGTATTTACTGTTGGGTGACGGTGATAACGATTTGTGACGATAAGCGATTGGTGAAGTAGTGATTAATGAGGATGAAACGATGGATGGTTCAAGAGTTGAGTCAGACGGCTGGTTTTGCTGCGTTTGGTGACGAGACACGAGCGAATTGTCTGAGAGGGATCTTTGAAGGGTTTGATGGTCTTTGCTCGTAGTGATCGATGAAGTTGATTGTGGCACTTAAATTTGTAGAATTTAGTTGGGTACATTTAATATTAATTCACAGTTGGTTGGTGTTTGATTCGACCGACCAGAGATTATCAAGATAGGGATTAAAGCCATAAACATATTCATATTACATGGACTGGTAGTGGATCAATTGAATGAACTCGATTTTGAAACTCGAATTGAAATAACTTAAACTACTCGAATCACAGAAGTGAAATAAACTCGAATTAATGAATTCAATTTTGCAAAATCAACTCCATAATGCATTGAAAATCAACAATTTTCAAATCAAAGTATAAATGAATGAAAAAAAAATAAATAAACACAATTTTGCAGTTTCATTTGACTGGATTCGATGGTCGAATACGCGTTGAATTCATCACGAATGACCAAATCTTCAATGTCCATTTCTCGATCATTCTCTTCGGCATCGTCACTGCTCGAAGAATTATCCACCAAATTCAGTTCCGATCTCGATTCGACCGATTCAAAATCGACTTGAGCATCTTCATCATTCGACCGATCCGTCGTTGCATTCGCTGTTCTCATCTCACAACCCAATTTCGCATTCAGCATTTCAAAATTGTCCCGTTATCAGTTTATTTTAAGCAATCATTCACTTAAAATTTTATTCGTCGTAACAATAATAATAATAAAACGCCAAATGAACAACACAATTAGCGACAACAATTTTGAGTTGCGTCGACTACTTCCAATCAAACAAATAAAGTTGCAATCATAATGTCCACATCAACAATACAAACGAAATAAACTTATCGTTGGATCCGTCACAAAAATAGATCCGCAATGCAGAGGATGACAAAATTGTGTGGCGATGTTATTCGATCACAATCAAACATGCAGATGAGAACAATAGCGAGCGATTTCAACTGCGCCTTCAATTGTAGTATTTCTATGAGAATTTGCACACACATGTATATGGATACAATAGATGAGAATTTTCGGATTTTTCACAAAATTGAAAGGAAAATTGACGTGTCAAGTTGAGTTCATTCGAAATTGCACGAAAACCTCTACAGAATAAACACTATGAAAACTAAAATACTGAGAGAAAATGCATGTGTTGTCCTCGATGAACAATGCTTATTTCTCAATGATATAGTAGCTGTGTTCATAAAGGTGTCATCTCATTGTAGAAACGTAGAGAGCACCACATTTAAGGTACATCATATGTCGAAGTCTATACTGCTTTACTTTATGGACATTTCCACTTCTTTGGAACGAGCTAATTTAGGAAATTCTCGGCATTCAGTGCATTATTTATATTGTTGACGGATTTTGCTCAGTTCAAAAGATATGACTGATTTTCTGGTGATATTACAAACTGCTTGAGCGGTTCTATAATGCCGACGAACTGTGCACAATTGATCACTTCAGCGTGGTCAGTGACACAGTTCTACTAGAATATCACAAGCACCAATATCACAGCTCCGTTACGCTACTCCTAACTGATATCGATCATCCCTAAAAATACACTCAGCAGTTTCAAGAAGATATTTTCTGAAATAACACAAGATTCCCACTATCTCCTACCCCTTTTTGTAATATTTGACATATTCAGAAGAACGGCAGATTACTATCTCTCAGCGTATACTATAAAACTTCAAAAACTCAAAGCTAGAACTGAAATATAATTCAGAAACAAAATGCCAAAAGATTCAAAACCAGGAGCCGAACCTCTGTCTGTCCCGCGTAAACAGACAGCACTACCACTATACTACGACACACCTGCCATCAACGATCTCTATGAAGTAGACAAAAATGGATTCGAAAAAAATCATCAACCTTTTCCCTTTTACTTATTCCCAAAACTGCTGAAATGGCAGATCAATGTACTTCTTAGGACCTAAACAATCCAAAACTAAACCTGAAATATAATTCAGAGGCAAAACCCCAAAAATTTCATGACTGGGATCTGAACCACCCGTTGTCACACTAAAGCAGACATCACTACCAGTATGCTATGACGCACCCAACATTTACGCTTACTATCTATCACATAGACAAAACTGAATTTGGAAAAAATCTCTAACCTTCTCCCCTTCCCCTTTTTCAATTTCCTAAACAGTTGGGGTGGCGGTTAACTTCTCCATATACACTATAAAACTGAAAAAACTCAAAACTAGGCCTCAAATAA